CCTATTTTGAGGTCTAACTTGCAGTCAAAACTAAGATTCCTTAAATATTGAATATTAATTAATTAGATATGTGGGAGGCCAATACCTCTAATGCCGATGCCCTGACGGGGCTAATCAAGTTATTAAGGATTAACAACTGATGTCAAAATTCGTATAGTAGTGAGTATTATGAATTTTGACATAACTTGTTTATCTAAAATTATTTTATATCTACATTACCAAACAATGACTGATCCAGTGGAAGGAAAGTCTTATGTGGAGTAAAATTCCATCCTTGGTGCAGATTTATTCTTTAATACCAATTAGAACATCCAGAATTTGGCAAATTATATAATATAATAATAATCCTTACATTTGATATAGGGCCTATCACCTCTTCGAGATGTCTCAAAGCGCCTCACAGAATATCCTGTAAAGTGAATTGACTGAATATTTTGTGGGTGAAACGCGGCAGCCAATTGTACACAGCAATTCATAACATTAATATTCATAACATTAATTTCTAGTTTAGGGGAAAAGGGAAACATGATGAGACTTGTTGAACATTTCTTGTTCTTCCTGGGTTTTTAAAGATTAAATACTGTACATTTTCTCTGGTGGTTTGAGCTTATACTGTATTGCTTTTGACACATACAATTTTAAACTAAATGGTACAATGTTATTATAATTGCTACTCATCTGGAATTTTAATTTATGCAAACACAAAAATCGTGTTTAATTATGCTTAGGCCATGTTCCTTATTAGTGCTACTCTTATATATGTGACCAGTCAACATTTTAATTATCAGTATAAATTCAACTTTTACTGTGTGTTAGTTAATGACAGGTGAATTAGATTAGTATGAGAATTAAGTACAATCATAATAATAATCCTTGTATTTGATTTACTGTCTTTCCCCCTCCCACCTCTCTGACCTGCTGACTCCCTACCAACTTGCCCGCTCCCTCCGTTCATCGCGCTCTGGCCTGCTCCATTCTCCCGCCTGACCCACCCTACCATCGGTGACCGGGCTTTCAGCCTCTCTGCCCCCACTCTGGAACTCCAGCCCATGGTCCCTTCCCCTCGCTTCCTCCCTTGCCTCCTTCAAGGCCAGTCTCAAGACCCTTCTCTGCGACCGTGCCTTTGGTTTCCCTCCCACCTCTCTGCCTTCCCTCACCGCTACACCACCCCTCCCCCATGCTCGGGCCCCGACATCTGACTGTTCAACGCTTTGGGACGTCCTCCCAATGTGAAAGATGCTCTATAAATGTAATTTTGTTGTTATTGTTGTTCATGCCGGAAGGATGTCTCAAAGCGCTTTGCAGGACTGAGAATGTAAAGCCCAAAATCCACAGCGCTACGACAGTGATGTCAGGCAATGAGAAGATCTTATACCTTATCAGAGATTTATACAGAATGCAGGAAAAAACATACTTATTTGTATCATCTTCAATTTCAACATTTTTTTCTAATTACAAATGATTTTGATTCTGTTCAGAGGCCTTGCCGTGTTTCGTAAATCAGGAAATTTGTGGAAATCCACCCCAATAGATGGATGAACAAAGTTTATAACCTAGTAGATTTTTAATAAGTTGTCTGACTTCAAATTCTGTAATATTTTTCTCTGAAAATGATCATCAATTTTATGTGCACATCATTGGACATTATCAAGAGTTGATTGCATTTACCTTTAACATCAAGACAATCATCAGAGTATTAATAGAGATACAACAAACAACAAGAGTATTTGCATACCAAAATTAAACAAAACTGCTTCAGATATGTTTGATGTATTTACTAAGGAGTTTTCAATTCAGCATATTTCTCAAAATGGATTACACACAGCATTAATAATTTATGGAAACAGTTTTGTAGAAAGCATACAACAATCTTTTTTGAGTTGCATGGGAAATTTTGTACTAATAACACTGATACAGTAACCCAGCAACAGAATTCATAGTTCAAGCACTAATTATCAGGCTCCATTGCACTAGATTAACAGCACAAATTGAGCATTGCAAACCAGCTTTGTATTCCATTTTAATGTTAATAGTACTTTTCTAGAACAGAATGTTAAGTAATTGCCTTTCAAACATTTATAACCTGCTTAGCCTCAAAGATCATTGCAAATCACAAATTTCAATATAATTCAACTGCATGAAAAAGGAAAACAATAAACTCAGTAATTTTATGTATGTTCAAATTTCACTATAATTCAACAAAGGTGAATAGAAGGATAGAAAATATATCTGTACACATCATTAGGTTAAGACCCCAGGGACTGATGTGCTATTCCATCTCCTACAAAGAGCTAGTTTGGCTGGTCCATCATCAGTACCTTGGACCTGCCTAGTTCAGATATCAAACTCCCACGATTGTCACACAGGATCAACTTAATTTTGATCTTTCATTGCTTGAAATTCATTGCATGCCACACCGGATTCAACTTAACCCCAGAGACCCGGCTTACCTCTCCCCCCAGACTCCCTCTGAAGATGGTCACCAGTTGCCTGGTGGATCATAGGTACCAACAATTTTGTCATATGCAAACTTTCAAGCTGAAAAAAACAGTACAATTTCTGCATGTTTCTTTTAAATAATGATTAACTACATGGTAGGGTCCACTTCATTTTGAGTGTTAAAAACATCCTCCACTAGGATAACAAGTGATATTCTTTAGGGCTACTTTTAACAGCTACATTTTGGCTGGAGCTATGAATGCAAAATGATGAATGTAAAAAACAGATGTAAAAATAATGCTTAATAAATACATTAAGGTTGTGACAGCCTTATCTAGCTTGACTGAGACTTTATTTGAGACTCAGTCAAAAAGCAGACTACGATAATTTTTTCAGTATTTTTTGTCACCAATTTATAATGGAGTATGCACTCCGCCAGTCCATTTATCAAGTCTCCAGTTAGAGCAAGCCTATTGTTCCTAAACAAATGATTAATTGCCTGGTTCCTTGAACACAAAATGTTTAAACCCACTGAGCATTAACATAAGAATGCTGCATCAGCATTGAAAAAAAATCTCAAGATTAGAACTCTTGACACGATTTAAGAAATTGAATCTGGGTTTTTAATATTTTCCTATTTTCACACTGGATAGAATTGGTCCAAGACAAAAGGGCCCCAACATGGGTATTTCTCTAAGGGAATAGAAACTGGAAGTGCACGGATTGGGCTCATGTAAAACTAGGCTCAAGTCAGACAAGCGATTGCTTATTTAGAAACCATTTTCCACCCTTGGTCTAGAATTCAAGGGTGGAAAATAACTTTTTATTGAAAACTCAGCTGAAAATCAAGTGTAGTAGAACACCTGCATTAGAAGATCCTCACTGGAAATTCAATAAATGATGTGATCATTTTCAATAAATTTTTTCAATAAATTTTCAATAAATTATGAAATAAATTATGCAAGATCATTTTCGTCCACCTTACATTATAAGCCCCATTAGTAAAGGGTTATTTGCACTCATTAACATCTCCAATGAGAGCAATATCAATAAAGCCTATTTTGGTACATTGAAACATTAACATGCAGTGTCCCAGTAGTGAGAAACTGAAGATTAATCAATTTCATATGGTTGATTTACCAAACATCAGCCACATCCTTGTGGGTAGGAAAGGGAACATTCTGATGAAGTTTCCTTTAGCCACTGTGCTTCTCCAAACTGTGAATTCAGAGGAAGTGGTTGAAGCATGTCAACAGACTCTTATTTAATGTGATCAGGGTAGATTCACATATCTGTGCCCCCTTGCACACAAAAAGTCTTGTGTCAATATACACTCATGTCAACTGGAAGTTGTTTGGTCCTGGATACTATATCTGAACACCCAATACAATTGTTCCTCTCAGGTAATGTGATCAACTTGACAGTGCACCCACAATGAACTCCAAGAATGATTTCCTCAGCCATAAAAATCTGCTAAACTATTATAATGGCCAAAATCATAAGATCTATTGCTTTCCTGATAATGAGTATAAACACTTTTTCAACATCAATGATTGATCATGTTGAGTCATTCCAATATTTAATGCGAATCCCAAATTCCAAAAGACAAATAGCACCGTTGGATAACACTTGCAATATCCATGAGGTGAGTTAAGTTTATTCAACAGCATCATGTCATCTGTGACTGACAAGAACCCCTCAGAATTTCTGGGAGCTCCAGTGTAAAATGTAGATGGTGTCCCCAGATTAACTAGGCATTGATGGCTAGGCATTGTTAGCCACATATCAGAGAACCATGACAGCAATAGGCAAACTTATGCAGCAATCTCAGCTAATAGGGGTGGACTATAGGTGAAGCATGAACAACCCAGTAGGAAAACACATCCCTAGATCCGTGTTCAATATAGGCTAGCACTGAGTAGGTACAGTCTGGAACTAGATCTTGACCACCCTTACTAGATTAACCCTTACTGTCCTTAAATTTATCCCACAAGGCAGCCAGTATTTCCAAGATCAATCTATAATAATAAATAATCCCGGCATTTGATGTAGCGCTTTTCACGTCTTCTAGACGTCCCAAAGCGCTTCACAGAATATATTTTAAAGTGAATAGACTATATTTGTGCACGAAACGCAGCAGCCAATTGCGCACAGCAGTGTCCCACAAACAGTCGTGGATTGAAGTGACCAATTTATTATTGTTACTTTTATAATCTATAACAATCTATTATGATTCTGCATTGTGGGAATGTTCTACTTCAACAAGAAGCAGAATAGACATCAGGGTTAACGACTCACATCAGGGTTTGTACAATAGAGTGGTTAAAGCTAAACACATCTTTTTTCTTAAGAGGTGAAGATGAAATTTTAAAAAAATCAAATTTACCCAAAACAGAAATGTTTAACAAAGCTAAAGTAGTGAGGTCTGAGGCGAAAGGGGGAGGCAAAACCTTCTTGTGTGACACAAGTGGGAAAGTTGGGGCAGAATGAGTTTCTTCCAGTGATAGGTGGAGGATGCAAAATGAAGACAGTGATTTTTATTTACAAGACTTACTATCACATATTTATTAGTGTTTTATTAAAAAAANTCTTTTTTTTTCTTTTAGCAGTACAAGCAACATATCCCAACATAACAGGTCTTCAGAATTTACTTTGAAACATTTGATTACACTTGTAATCATTATGATGCAGTTACTCAAATACCATTATAATAACATCTTATAACAGTCTTTGCCAGAAATTCTCATGACAAAAACAAACTATTTACTCAATACTCATACAGAAAAATATCTAAAAGGCATTGATTGACATTTAAGTAACCTTTCAATTATTTAATACCTACTTCACATTTGCATAAAGGAAAAAAAATCATTAAGACTGATCATTATAGGAGTGAATTTTGTAAACACATTTCCAGATTCCCCAAATCTATATAGATTCTGTACACAGTATATGAGAACTTTAACTTCTACACATTGCATTAGCACAGTGTGTGGCTCAACTTTCCTAGGAAAGGATTATTAAAATTACACTAAATTCATTAAAACTAGTTACTGTTAGTACGAATACAAAACTGTTACAAGCTTCAAGAATATTTCTAATCTTCTCAAGTCTATCTTTGGACTCTACTTAGGCAACTTTTTAATTCTAATTACTTGACCATTGCTACCCTTGAACTCTGACCCTAAACTTAGGCTTCAAGGCTGACTCCAATCGTACTGTATAATTTCCCTGAACTTTTAGCAGACTTTCCAATTGCCATATTGTTCCAGGCCAAATCTAGACGAATAATTATGTGTACATACATAATAATTAGAAACATTTCCATTTGCTCTCCTATTTAAAAAAANTAAAAGTAATAATTCTTTCTATATCTTTACAGACAGAATTAAAACCTACATACTCCATTTTCATTGCACATATAATCAGAAGCAAAAAAAACACATTTGCCCATATATTAAAATAGTACCTTCTTCATAGGACAGTAGAGATACAAAACTACTGTACAGAAATAACTTACAGTACATACAATACATAGATTTGGAACCCATTCCAATATAGCAAAGTGCAGATAATTTCTTTATATTGCTGGAATCTTTGTAGCTTAGGTCTTGATCAAAGGTGCACTGCAAAGTTCACAGCATCTATCTGCAATAAAACATAAAAAATGAAAGTAAGATGCTTCCTCATTCATTTAGGTTTGAACACAATTGATTGCTGTACCACATACAAATTAATAATGATGATTTATTTATGCAAAAGCCTTCATTGGCAAGATCTCATGAAAAGAAAAAAAGGAAAATGGCAACAGAACTATTTGCATTATCACACAATACACATGCCTTATCTCAGAATCAAGTATTTTCAAAAATGACCCCCAAAAAATCAAAATGCATCTGCTTCATTTGTATATCCTTTATTTCCTTTAAAGAACTTTACCCCCCCACCTAAAGCATACTATTCTTAATGGTAATACTCAAAAGAACCTGCTGATTTAATGTCTATAGCTGGTGGAGACAAAAATAGTCTGTGCAGGCCTTGAGCACAAATAGGACCAGCTATATATTCTTTAGTGTTGCCAATCAAAAATATTTTGAAATGAAACCTGTACTGTAATGCAGATGATCACCACTACTCAATTATACAGGAAGTTGTTCTTTAGTATCTGGAAACTAGTTAATGAAGAAATGTTTGTTCATTCTGGCACTGTTCCCATCCCCCTCAAAACAGCCATAATCACCCCCCATCCTGAAAAAACCTTTTCTGGATCCATCCCTGTTTTCTAACTACTGGCCCATCTCCAAATTCCCTTTCCTTTCCAAGGCCCTTGAAAGAGTTGTCGTTTCCCAGCTTCGCTCCTTCCTTCCTACCGCTCCCTTCACGAGCCCCTCCAATCGGGTTTCTGTGCTGCTCACCACACGGAAACTGCTCTGGTCAAGATCACAAACGACATCCTGTCCATTTCAGCGCCTTGGGACATCCTCCCGACGTGAAAGGCGCTCTATAAATGGAATCTTGTTGTTGTTGTTTGTAACCAGGGATCCCTCTGCCTCCTTGACCTCTCTGCTGCCTGTAGAGCACTCCATCCTCCTCCACTGTCTCTCCTCTTACCTCAACCTTCAAGGTTCTGTCCTTGAATGGTTCAGGTCTTCTCTCTCATACTGTCTCCAATTTGTCTCTGCCAACGGTTTCTCTTCCAGCCCCTCGGTGACATCATCCACAGACATTGGGTCAACTTCCATATGTACGCAGATGACACACAACTCTATCTCTCTACCTCCACCCTCGATTCCAGGACACCTGACGTCCTGACAGACTATCTGTCAGACATCATGTCCCGGATGAGAGCCAACTTTCTGCAGCTTAGTGTCAGCAAGAACGAGGCCCCCCGATTGGCTCGCCCAGAACCTCTGCACCTCAGTTACTGGCAGTATCAGCATCCACAGATACACACTGAACCTCAGCAAGCCAGTCAGGAACCTGGGTGTCTTGTTCGACCTTCAACTGTCCTTTATCCCCCATATTTGTGCCACGACCTGCACTGCCTTCTCCCACCTACGCAACGTTGCCCGACTCCGCCACTACCTCACCCCTCAGGCCACCGTAACCCTCATACAAACATTCATCACCTCAAGACTCAACTACGGAAACTCCCACCTCGTCGGCCTCCCCAACTCTTCCCTCCACAAGCTGCAGAATATCCAGAACTCTGCAGCTTATGTCCTCTCCTGCATCAGGCTCTGTGATCCCATCACCCCCACCCTCGCCCGGCTCCACTGGCTTCCCAACCCTCAGAGGATAGAACTCACAATCCTCGTCCTCATTTTCAAGGCCCTCCACGTCCTTGCCCCCTCCTATCTCTCTGACCTGTTAACACCCTATCAACCTGCCTGCTCCCTCTGTTCAGCAGGCTCCGGACTGCTCCATGTCTCCTGCCCGACCCGCCCTACCATCAGCGGCCAGGCTTTCAGCCTCTCTGCCCCACCCTTTAGAACTCCATCCCACAATTCCTTCGCCTTGCTCCCTCTCTTGCCTCATTCAAGGCATGACTCAAGACCCTTTTTTTCGAACGTGCCTTCAGCCGCCCTTCTATCTCTCTGCCCTCCCTCATCCCAACCCCGTCACCTCACGCTCGGGTCCTGATCCCCAACTGCTCAGCGCCTTGGGACGTTCTACCGACATGAAAGGAGCTTTACAAATGTAATATTGTTATTGTTGATCATATCTGATATTAGCTTTGGAACAGAAATCATGATTCCCATAATTTCTACAAATGGGATGCCCTCCCAACGTGAAAGTGCTATATAAATGGAATTTGATGTTGAATGATTAGCATCATTGAAGGCGAGTCTGTAAATATGAGAGGTTTGTAATTATCCATGAAGGTGAGGTCTATAACTGCCAGGTGATTAGTTGTTCATTTTTTGCAGCAGATAACTTCCTTTAACTTTACTGCTGAAAGTTACTGCTCTACAGTTTGAGAATTGGCATCCTTTTCAGATTCAAATCGAGTATCCCAAATGATTTGTTGCTTCCCTGCTGTCATAATTGAACATATGAAAAATACTCAAGAAATATTCAGAAAACACCAAGAACAGGAAAATAATGACACAGAAAAGGGGAAAAAAAAGGTTTTTTCCCTTTTCTGTAGGAGCCGGATGAAAGAGAAGGACCTCCAAAGTAATAATATTAGAATTATTCCCATAACATCCACAGACCTGTTTAGGAAGGAGATTAAATGCTTTGGTGCTTGGCTTGGAAAATTATGCAGTAAGGAATTTCAGATTTTATAAGCTGTACAGGAGAACAGCTTTCATGTTCCTTGCAGAAATGTTAACTAGGGCAATGGGAAAGGATTCAAAATAGTTAGGAAGGGGGTGAAAAAACAGAACACACCAAATAGAAAGAGGCAGTCTTTAAGAATCTTAAAAATGGGTTATGACTAGGAAAAAGATAAATTAAGAAAACAGACAGCAAAAAGAAAAAATGGGATTTAAGAGGGATAAATGATTCTAGTATATATAAATTAGCAGATAAAACATTGACTTCTGGTTGACTTCTGGTGAAATGGTTCCAGCATGTATAATCATTCTGACTCGGAGAAAAGGGTGCATTGTACGGTCTATGGCTAATAAGAAAGATTATAACAAAATGAGATTTTAAAAAGCAACATATGATAAAACCGAGCAAACAATACAATTCACATTTGATGTAATTTTCAAGCTTAGGTTTTTATTTGTTGGAACTTTCACCAAACTATTTACCTCTTAGAGATTCTACAATCAAAGTTATAGAGGGCTCATTAAAATGTTCAATATTCAAAGCGTTGTATTGAGTTAAAAATTCAACATCGTTAATCGTCAACCCACATAAGCAGAGTTCCCTTAAACAAGCACTTTTGCTCTGCCCACAAGCACTGTATTTTGTTTGTCAAAAAGTACACAAATCTCTATCTAGTGTGCTGTAACAAAAGTTAAATAGGGTAAGAAATTGGCAAATTGTAAAAAAAAGAGGAACAAGTATACCAGTTATGACAGAGGGATTTCCCACTATAAATGCAGAACGAATCTAGTGTTAGAAAACAATGCATGCTAAACTCCTGTAAGAGTTTCACTACTAATCTAGATTGCAAAATAGTTAAACAAATACCATTTTGGAACAAATGAACACAAATTGTGAAAGGTAAAACACATGTGAGAATAGAGATTATATAAACTGTGCAGGAAATTTAAACAAATCATCTGACCTAAGTATCAACAGTTGAAAGAGTTTAAAATCAGAATTCTGTACTTCCCTTATCTCAAAACAGTACTTCCTATGAGGTTTTATGTTTTTCCAAACTAAACTTTCTCACAGCAAGATATCTTCTCACTTGTACTATAACTGTAAAATTACCATTAGTGAACTAGAACTCTAATCTTGTTTTCTCATGTGTACATCAAACAACTATATATAAATCCAGTTTTATTACATTGTTGAAAAGTGTTGTATAGAAGAGAACAAATAAAAATCAGTGTTTAAAAAAAACTAACAATTGTAGTTTCACTTAGTGGAGGTCCAAAGTAGGCTTTGCACTATAAGTGAGGCAACACTATAAAAAGGGGTTCAACAGATAGATAATAAACAGGTTCTGTACAGGTTACCTGGCCTCAAACAAAAGGTACTTCAGGTTACTATCATAACATATGCATGGCACATATGCAACACATGGTTAGCTCACGTTAAGGTAGCTCTAAGAAGTTTGAGAAGAAGCCAAAGCACAGAGTTGGATTGCTGATGTAAGGCTGAGGCACAACCAGTGCAATGTCATTTATGCACTTGAAGTGTCAGGGCTCATGCTGACAGGGTAGGGAAAACCAGGTAACAGCATTTCCCTGAACTTTCAAATATGTAATCGTACAGATAGATAAATGCTGAGATATTGGTTGCTTTGCAACTTCTCTGGTTGCAAAAACTATCCCAGCTCAATATCACAAAATACCAAAGTCTAATCAGTTCTTCAGCATCTGTTTGTCAGATTAGACATTAAAACCAAGGTTCCATTCACCCTTTCAGGTAGATGCCAAAGATCTAGGACTAGAAAAGATCATTTTGCTGCAACAAGGCTATCCTTAAGTAAGCCTCTGCTGCATTCTCTCTCTTACACCCTTCATCAAATTCTTTGCCAAATAGCTATCCTATCCAATTTGCCGACACAATTTGCCTTCACAGTCTTCCTGGGTAGTCTATTCAGTCTTCCTCTCTGTAAACATATGATTGAAGCTCAATTTATCTATACCCTGTAGGATCTTAAACAATTTAATGTCAAGCTAGGGCTCTTTAATCATGAAAAACATTGTCACAGAAGGGACTTTATAGAAGTTTATAAGAATGGCTTTTGCAACCCTGAACCTCATTATTTTTGTTAATATTGAATGGGATTGAGGAAGTAAACACAGAACAATACTTTTGGATCTACTAAGATAGCAAAACAAAAAGAACGAGGTTCAGGATTGCAATGGGCAATTACAGCACAGACAGCAGGACGTATTTCTTCACCCAGCGGATAATTAACGGCAAGAACAGGTTATCAGGAAGGTAACTGGTTGAGTACAGCTTTCTGCCCTCATTATTTTTAAAAAAAGGTTGATGCTGTAACGGGAGGATGACAGGGTGGATATTTTGAAAGGATGAGGCCAAATGGACCAAAGAACTTCCTTCCTTCATCCAAACCTCTTGTGAGTTCTCCCCTGACTCTGGGTTTATTTAGTGTGAAGATTTGCACTGTTCTGTACTCCTCTATATTAAAAATAAATTTAAAGAGTTGATTTTGCATAGAAGAAAAATTGTAGGATTAAGGATGGAGAAAAGGTGAAGTTCTCCTTATAGGAAAACGAATACTATGTCCCATAGGTACAACAACAACAAAATTACATTTGTATAGCGCCCTTCACATCGGGAGGATGTCCCAAGGTGCTGGAAGTAACCAGAAAGTTAAAAAAAATTACCATGAGATAGTATAATTTTGAGGGTTTTTTTAAAAGAGAGTGGAAACCTCCCATTTAGTATACCACTCTTTCAGGGAATTTATCTTCACATCCAATGCAGGAATATCAACAAGTATGTCCATTGGGAATTCCACAAATAAATATTTGGAGTAGAATTAGATATCATTTAGAAGATATTTCAGGCAGCAAAACTGAGTAACATACTTATGTATTCAGTTAGTACTGAAATTGTCGTATTCAAACATTCCAGATTGACATTCAAGGGTAACCAGAATGTCAAATCAAAGGATATTCTATCAAAAATCAACTCTTCAAATGTATTTTAAATATACAGAATATATAGAGTTGCTCACAGATTCATCAACAGTAAAACCTCTCAGCAGCAATTCAACTGATACACAAAGGATTTTTTAATCTTTAAAAAATAGTTAAAATCAGAAAGCAAGAAAACACCCTTTCATTCTTCGTTAGTATCTTAAAGGAGGGATAGTTCATCACTAGTTCTTCGCTTACAATGGAAGAAAAGAAAATAAAAGAAAAAATGTTCTCTTCCTCCAAAGTAATCAGAAATCCAAAAAAAAAGATTAATAATCAACAATTATACAGAATTACGCTTGGTAGTTGAATCAGCTCCTTTTGTTGAAGATACAAGATATATAACCTAATTTTCCTTTATTTTAAGCTTCTCCACATTTTACGACAATTGATTTATTAGTACCCAAGGGAAGGAAGATCGTTTCAGTCGGGGCAAAAATGCCTCCCTCAACAACAAATTATATTTCTATAGCGTCTTTCATGTCAGGAGGACGTCCTAAGGTGCTGGTCAAGCAAGGATTTGCACCCAAGTTGTGGGTTAGGATCAGGAGGGGTGGAGGGAGGGTGGGGGCAGAGAGAGAGGTGCTTTGAAGTGATTTGAGGCATCCTCTCAAATGTGGAAGGGGCTAGTAAATGCATAAATAATAATTTAAATAGTTATTAAATTAAATTATTATTACAATAATACCCTTTGTGAAGAAACAAATAGATACAGTTAATTATTCTGGTTAATTCAAACCTACAGCATATTAAAAAAGGACAAGGGACAGTCATAGAAAATTGTGCTAGTTTACTGTTCTTAAATTTATCCATGCGCCCCACCCCAAATCATCTCAGTCTGCTGTATTGTCAAACTAATTTAAACGTTTCTTCAAAGAACTCCAAATCAATCCTGATAGTCTAATTATGAGGTCAGAACAAAAAGTGAGGATTTTGTTAAATATTGATTTTAAAAAATATATTTTTAGATTTAGTTTCCATTTTGGAACAAATTTTGTAGCGTCACTAAAGTGGCAATGATAAATGATGCTACAGGATAAATTCCACATGGAAATTAGATCTTAAAAAAGGTTAAGATTCCAGCTTAGGCTCTGAGGCAATGTCATATAAAACACTGTACAGAATTCTACTTCTATATATTAGAAAAAAATTAATTGAGTAAAATGACTACACTGCAAGCACAAGTTTGAAGATCCTAGATGGAGAAACCTGAGAAGCACATCTTGTCTCCCCTCCACAAACCATTACAAGGTGTTCTTGCAGAAAATGAGCCAATACTGGTCTTGAATGAATAGAAGCTCTAGATTCACAGCCAGGAATTAAAGATGTATTCCTGTTCTTCTGGGTTATACTAGTGACTCAGTAGAGTATGTCAATGCAAAACTAGAGAATCTACCCAAGTCGAAATGACTGGTTTCTTCAGGAATTATTGAAATTAATTATAAATTTGGACCTTTCATAATTTAACTTTTTATTTTTTTTAAAGCTTGCACAGGAGACAAAAAAGGTGAATGGTTATGTCTTGAAATACCTTTTTTAATGTCAGATGCAAAAAACTAGGCTTCTTTTTCCACTAGAAGCCATTTGAATTTTATAGTTCAAATACTTTGTTCATGGGATATTTCATTATGAAATCCTGAAACATTTCATACATTTTCATTTGGGTTACATTAGAAAACAAACGTTACTAGTCCATTACTCTGTTTCATACACTAGTGAACAGTGTATCTTTTTATTTTTGGCCAAAATATCCATACACACAAGGCTATCTCATTTCTTTGGACACACAAATAGAGACTTAACCTGCTCAGTTACTGTATTTCATGACTACCCCAGATTGATTTTAAGAAAGCATCATCATTAAATTGAATACTAACCTCCTTGAATGATTCACATCAAATAGTGTATCGTCCTCCTCATCATCTTCCTGATCTAAAGGTCTCATCTCCATGTTTTCTAGATGTGTATTCAGCACACCATACTTGCGCGTTTTTCTGTTAACTCTTCTCATCCTAGGATAAACAGAAGTTGTTAGAATAATTGGCAAACAGTTTTGCTCAGCTATAGCCAAGTAGCTCCTTCTGGCTCCAAATGAATGTTAATTCACCATTACAAATTCACAATAAGGAAATTATAAACATTTTCTATACAGTGTGAATAACTAGGAACAGTACAACCTGAAAGTCACTAATTGACGAGCTTATAAAACATATTTTTCCTACTTTTAAAATTGCACTGCATAACTGGTTAAAAAAAATTAATATCAATAATTGTTCAAAAATTTTGCTGAAGGTATATAATAATAATCCTTGCATTTGATATTGCGCTTTTCACGTCTTCTAGATGTTTCAAACTGCTTCACAGAATAGACTGTAAAGTGAATTGACTGTATATTTGTGGGCGAAATGCGGCAGCCAATTGCTCACAGCAGTGTCCCAAAAACAATCGTGGATTGAAATGACCAATTTATCATTTTTTTTGAGGGATTATTATCAGGCGTGTAGAGTAAGTAAACTTGCCCAAGGTTTCACCCTGTCAGGAATTGAACCCAGGTTTCTCGCTTGCAAAGCGAGTACTCTAACCACTGAGCTACAGGACTCTGAGATATCATCGAATTAGGAGCTGCAAAATGGTGCTGTAAATGGAATATATGTTGGTTTGGGCAGATGCCAATATGTCTAGAAGCTGGATTTCAGATTTTGTCTGCACTTGCTGCTGACAAAATTTGTTGCTTGCTGCTTGACGGAACATAGCGGCTATGCTTCCTACCAAAACCAGATAAATGCACCCAATCACAATCTGCTGTCATAATCTTCTTCCCGTTTGCAAAAATTGCTGGAAGAGTAAGTATAAACAGAACAAATTAAGTGTGAAATAATGCAATAACTACACACATTTTCTGCACCAAGTAGTTCCGATTGCAGCAATACATTTTCCTCTTTCAAATTTACGATTGGCAATTGCTTTGCAGTCAGCAAAACAAATGTGATATAGATGGAAAAGAAAACACATTGCTAAAATTAGACTGTAATATCCTCATCATTGTAATGATGGTAGTATTAGTACTAGTACTTACTGGGATATGAAATATTTTCTAACGCATTCCTAAACGAGTCAATGAAAATTGACATATTTACTTTACTGCTGAGAAATTATTGCTGCAGAGAAAGGTTAAAAATTATCAAAAGGATTTAAACGCTCTTCACAATGTGCCTGGACTCATTATTAAGTAATTGCAGTACCAATAATTTGTAACATTTCCCACAACATATTTTTGGATGTAAAACAAGGATATGGATTTGAAACATTTAGATGGTAACAGGTTTTAGGGTTACTGTAAAAACAAAATTTAACTGCAAGCTATGATTTGATCAATCTAAAGAATCATTTTTTTAACATTGTTTCTGTAACTCTTAGACCACAAAGTTGTCTGCAAGCCGAAGACATTTTTCAAAATGTCATAGTTGTAGTGGTGTTCCAGCAAGACAGCTTCAGCTTTGACATTGCTTTTATAGCAAAAGTTATTCCATGAAGCCTATTAAAACTCCCACATTAAATAAATTAGACATAGAATTTTAAACTGACTGCCTCCCCAACAATTCAGTTGGCAAAGCCATTACCTAGAATGAATCCAAGCTGTACAGAGCTGAACAGTCCCAGAATCAATCCTTAGTTTTTGCTGAGTTAACTAATCTCAACAGTGGAGGTGCCCGTCACAATTGGCCTCATGGTTATTCAACCTGTTAGGTAGAAAGTGACCTACTTTTCACTTAAGTGGGAAATCCAGGACAAGGGAAATAACATTACTGTTTATGGGTAAAATTAAAATCAGAAACATTCTTCAAATAAAAGGTTCTGTGGATATGGAATGAACTTCCCAGAACTGTAGATACCGAATCTATTAAGATATTAAAAGTGAGTTGCAGAGATAAAGTACTTGAAGTATTAAAGGATAGAGAAAAGATAAACACATCAGGTTAGAAAGATAACAAGCTGCCTATAGACTAATGAAATAAAGCAGGATTAATAGGCCAAACAGCCTACTCTGTATTTTGGTTGCAGAATCCAATTCTCAAATCACTCAAAGTGAAGTTGGCTTTCTTCCTACTCTGAAGTCCTTAAGGCATTCCTCACAAAACTAATAGCTTTACTAACTTATTTAATTTCCTCATCTTGCAAAAATTATAATTTTTGTCACTGTAAATCATTCAAAGCAATGCAGCATCATTTACATTAAGCACTGATAGTGTTATCCTCAACGCATAATTTGATAAAAATATGGTCTAGAGCAGCACAAAACTAAAGAAGAAAAAAATTACATTTATGTAGCGCCTTTCATATTGGGAGGATGTCCCAAGGGACTGGACAGTGAAGAGTTTGCACCCCAGCTGGGGCTTGGAGTCAAGAAGGGTAGAGGGCAAGGAGGTGGGAGGATGACCAAAGGCACAGGTCTTGAGACAGGCATTGAAAGAAGCAAAGGAGGGGGATAGATGGAGCGACTCCTAGATGGCGTTCCAGAAGGTGGGAGCAGAAAGGTTGAAGGCCTGACCGCCAACGATGGGGAGGGCAGGACGGGGGACATGGCCAGTATCCACCAAGCGGAAAAGTTGGCAATGTTTTAGTAGGTCACAGAGGTGGAGCAAGACTGCAGAGGCCTTTAAAAGCGAGGACAAGAATCTTGAACTTGATCCTCTGTGGGATGGGGAGCAAGTTGAACCCAAAAAAATTCAAATTCCGATTGTCTATCAGTGCCACTGATGTATGATGCACAGGTGATTGATTGTTGGTGAGGACTGGATCAGAGTCAACACAGCAATAATTCTCAGTCTTCAAAATTGCAGATGCAGCACAGAAGGTCCCCAGGAAAGCCTGTCAGCAGCACAGTGTCATCTGCAAACAGATACACCAAGTCCGTCCCACTCTATACCATCCAATACGTCATTGATCACTTCCTTCTGAAGGATTATGACACACTCTATTTAGATGACAGAATCAGAAGTCCTCTATTCTAAAAGGATTTTCTCTCACTTTTCCAGATGCATAAGAATGATAGTCATTTCTGCACAGAGCTCTTTGGGCTAAGTTAGTATAACCTTCTGAGAACCACCCCACCTTCAGAAATGAAACTGGCTTACGCAACATGTAATGACTGTATTCTGTAGGTGAACATTTACTTACTGAAGGCAGAACTTTTAAAAAAAGTTTTACTTAAACGGGACATGTTCCACATCTTGCTTTACAATCTGCCATGCTAGTTGTTTCTATAGTAGTTGTTTCTATAGGATTTTATTCTTATAGTAGTCCGTAGCATGCTTACAGCAACATATACCCTCTGTAAGTCAGCAGTAGTCTTGAAACAGTGAAAAACTGTGAAATTTATAAAATAAATTAACAATAGTGTGAACTTGGTTCTGCCTTGAGTCGTTCAGATACTACCTCTCATACCATCTGCACTTTATCTCCACATGTTTTGTGAGCATAATAATAATCTTTGCATTTGATATAGCGTTTTTCACGTCGGGAGGACGTCCCAAAGCGCTTCACAGAACACACTGTAAAGTGAATTGACTGTATATTTGTGGGCGAACGCAGCAGCCAATTGCGCACAGCAATGTCCCACAAACAGTCGTAGATTGAAAATGACCAATTTATTATTGTTTTTGGAGGGATTATTATTAGGCATGTGGAGTAAGGAAACTTGCCCAAGATTTCGCCCTGCCGGGAATTGAACTCAGGTCTCTCGCTTGCAAAGCGAGTGCTCTAACCACTGAGCTACAGGACTCCACAAATCTAGCAATTTTCTTTGCGTTGGAAAAAAACACTATCATGAACACTTTCCTGCCTACCACAGTAACATAATGAAAATGGAAAATTGTAAGTTCTTTATTTCACAATCCCTCAAAACCACCAAATGCAAATCATTTTCTTTAATGTGAAACCATGTAGAAGTCTGGGTTACACATAATCAAACATAGCCATCAAATAAAAGACTTGTTTAGATTTTATTTGAAGGAAGGCCTTGAACATGTCGGCAAGTAAGAGGTATGGAACATTTTAGTTTTGAAAATCAGCAACACGCACTCTTATGCTACATAAAGTACAGCCAGGTGACAAGTAGAACTCTTCTCCTTTATGTTGTGAAATCAGCACCAGTTTTAGTTTCCCCACATCACCCATTACAAGCATAGGGGGATCATGAACAATTAATGGAATGCATAGAAAGAATTTACAAGTGTTACTATCAAGGCATGTTGCAACCTTTCGTAGTTTTAAAGTTTCAATAATAGGCGTTAACCAAACAAAATGTAGAATCTAATATCAGCTTCACAATTATAAAAAGATACTGCATTGGGGGTAAATGAAAACATTTACAAAAATGTTCACACAAAAAGCATTGTGAAGTCCTGTAACTCTAAAGTACTCGCTACGCAAGTGAGAAGACCTGGGTTTGTATTCCAGGCAGGACGAAATGTTGGGCAAGTTTCCTTAGCCCACACGCCTCTGTTCACCTAGGATTATGTAGGAACCCGGTAGTTAGTCGATTGACAGTTGCTTTTCCAGGGGTAATAATCCCTTTTTTTTAAAAAAAGTAGTCACTCAATCCACGATTGTTTGTGGGACACTACTGTGCGCAATTGGCCGCCGCGTTTCACCCACAAATATAGTCAATCCCTTCTCGAGTATATTCTGTGAAGTGCTTTGAAACGTCTCAAAGATGTGATAAGGCGTTATATCAAATGCAACGATTATTATTATTATAAATAAACCCTCATTGATTCTGAATACTCAGTCGATTTAAGACACAAAGGGACAACTTCTGCAACATGAATTCACAGCAACGGAGAATGGAACATCTATATCAGTCAAACCTGTTCAACAACCATCTCCATTCAGCAACCACTCCTGTTAACAACATTCCTGGAACAGCCTGGAAAGATTTTGCATAATAACCCACCTCAATTCAGCAACCATCTATCTAACGCAAACAGTGGCCATTCTTTGCTAGTTCTTT